ACACTATAATCACTACTATTACTTTTATTATTCCTACTTGTATTATAATTATTATTATTACTATCTCCATCTTATTTTTATTTAGTTTGGCAGGTGTTTACTTTATATTAGTACAAATTACTATTTGTAAATATCCTTGATGTAACAACTTTATTCAGAATATATATATTTGATTTGATTTGATTTGATTTAAGAAAAAAAGTTATTAAGAAATAATTAAAAAATTAATTATTTCTTATTATAATTTTTTTAAATTCTCTCTTTTATACTACTTTTATTATATCACACACACACACACACACACACACACACACACACACACACACACACACACACACACACACACACACACACACTCACACACATATTTATAAAAACACACACACATATTTATAACTTCATCAAGACATTAAATAACTAAGATTAACAAGTTTTTAATAGGATAGTAATTGCTTTCTATCAAAATCAAATAAGTGTTGCTTTGTTGCACGTTTAAAATGTCGAGTTAAGGTTCCATAAAATAAAGTAAGTTCGATAACCGCGGCCCTCTGCAAGAAATCGAAATACCAGCTTATTTTGATAATGCTTTTGGTATAATAAAGTTATTTATTGAGTATTTAGTTTGGTATTTGTAGTTTAGAGAAACAAAGAAAGTTTAGAAAATGCTTATTAGCATGTCATTTTTAAACTTAAACATAAAAAAAAATATGTTAAAAATATTCATTTCATAGACATTAGGCACTCCAATTTCTCTTAGTAGTGTTCTGGTACTAGCGTATTTGTTTGCATTTAAAATCAAGCGACTTGTTCGCTTTTGTATTTTGTAGATTGTATTTAACTTAGAAAGATATGTACTTACCCAGATTATTTTGTAGTAGCTGATGTAGCTATGAATAAATGCAAAATAAATTTTTTTTAACAATTTATTTTCAGGAGATGTGTTTTTTTTTATACAAAATTTTAGATATTTTATTTTCTATTTTGATACTCCATCTAATGTGTTTATTAAGAATTATGCCCAAAGATTTGATTGAGTACTAATATTTTTGAAATGCTTGGTAAAATAGAAATAAGTCAGTAGTTTCAAGCAATCATCTCTGCTTTTAAATATAGGAACAATTTTTGCTAGCTTTAGTTGATCAGGGAATACGCTATGTTTTAAAGACAGATTACAGATATGCAGAATGGGATACTCAATAATATCGTAGACAATTTTTACAACGCTCACACTAATGTCATTTAGTCCTGGATTTTTTTTGGTTATATGGTATTAAATGCATTTTTAAGCTCGTTTGAAGTTATTTCAAGCTCGTTTATTACTGAGTCTTTATTTTTGTAGATGTGATTTATAACAATTTTTTACAGGAGTTATTTTATCAGGTAGTTTTTTTCCAATTTTTATAATATATATAATATATATATATTATAAATTTCTCTGCAATATCTATTATCTTGTTGGCTACAGTATCATTCTCATCTGTTTTTAAGTAATGCGGGAATATTTTGGTGGCGTCATTATTTTTTTCCGGTTACCTTTTCTATTATACGCCATGCTTTTTTGGTGTTACCTCAATAGTTTTCTATTAAATTGCAATAATATATACTTTTTTCTGAATGTTTTTTTTTAATTTTTCAAATAGATTTATTATACTTTATACATTTTTTCATTTTTATGTTTTTTTTTTCAAAAACTTTTCATAAAGTTTTTTTTTTTAAAGAGTTAACTTTTGTCATTCAACGACTTTTTAGGTTTTTTAGTTATCTGTTCAAGCTTCGGAAACGCTTTTTTGTACAAAATTGTAAAAGTCTATTTAAAAAGATCGTAAGCTTTTATTTTTGCAATTAACAATCTGATCACAGTTTTCGATTGATAAGTCGGTTTAGAACTTTGTTATAATTTTTTCATTTATTTGTCTTTTTTTATAATAATAATAATAATTATTATTTTTTTATATTATTGAAATTGTTAAGAAGAAAAAATGTTCGAAAATGATCACATGTCAGATTTTATTATTCCGCTTTGAATGTAAAAAGTTTATTTATAAATATGTTATCGATTAGGGTAGCGGTTTGGAGAGTTACTTGAGTTGGCTTAGTGTTCAAAAACTATAATCTTTTAGTGTTTAAAAACTATAATCATAAAACTTTGAACCCTCCTAAATTTGAGACGGTTGCAAATTTTATAAGGCCATAATTGTTGAACATTTAGAGATTATTGTGTGAGTTTTAAAATTTATCGATGAATATATACTTGGTTCAGAATAGTATAAAAAATATTTTATAAACCTGTTGCTCTCACGATGGGGGCAGGCGTAGCTAAAACTTTAGGGCTTTTTTGTTCCCAAGCTCCAATCGTTGCAACTGTTTGCAAAGCATCCTTGTTTGATATAAGAACAAACATAAAAAATTTTTGGAGTTTGTTCTATGTCTGGAAGTTAGGTATCTCAAACATCAAAAAATGCTGCATCCACGCCTGGCTTTACATGTTTTCTTACCACAGGAAAATAGCGCGATGAGCTTTTTCACTATTTTAGTTGTTCAACTCATACATCGAAAACTATAAATGCAAACTATGGTAAAAAGTAAAAATGTTCTATCCATTACAACTAAATACTTTTTAATTTCAGAATAATTTTTTAAGCTATTAAATAAATAAATAATAACTAAAAAACTAAACAATAAAATAGTTACTAAACATAATAAAATAAAATATAGAATAAAATTTGAACGGAGCATTTAGATTTATGTTTCATTATGTTTTCATTTAGATTTATGTTTCATAAACTGGATAAAAAGCGACTTCATAAGAGACATCATACTTCCATTTGTCATCGAAAAAATAATAAATAAATTACTAGTCTTTACTTTCTTAGTTTACTAGTGGAAACTAGTACATTTAATTATTGCTTATGTTTGTTAGTGTTCATGTTAATATCAAGAAATATCAAGAAATGTTTATATATTATATGAATCTAAACCATATCTTAACACCTCTTTTCTATAAAAAATATACTTTTCTATTATTCATAGTTTTATCTCTTACTGCAATATTGTATGGGTAGTACTTACTATGGTAAGTTGAAAAAACTTCATAGTAAGCAAAAACATGAATGCAGGATTATATTTGGTGCCCACAGAACTTTTTAATGTGAACCTCTTTTAAGGAAGCTCGGTGCCCTAAGTGTCTATAAACTTAATATACACCAAGTTCTACAATTCATGTTTAAAACTAAACATAAATTCTCTCCTATTGTATTTCAGTCTTACTTTAGTGAAATCTCGCCCAAGTATCCTACTAAATTTTCAATTAATAACTTTATTGTTCCAAAAACTAATTCAAAACTAAATTCTTACAAAATCCAATACCGCGTACCGTTTATATGGAAACATTTTTCAAAATTTATCACAAAAAATAATAATGTTCAACACATCTCTTTGGAAAAATTCAGAAAAGAATCTAAGAATCTCTTATTACTAAAAGACTTTGATTTAAAATATCTCTTTTAAAAACAATACTCAAATAATATAAATTGTCTAAAAAAATAGTTATTGACACTACTTCTCTTTTGTTGCAATTTTAATCTAATTTAATTTTTTGTTGAAAAACTTTAATACTTTTAAATTATTGTTAACCTTTGATATAATGCGTTATATTTCAACACTAATATTTATATTATGTTATTAGTTATATTGTAACTAACGTATTTAAAATTCTTGTTATGTACTTAGCTACTCTTCATCTTTTATATTAACTGACAATTTTTTAATGTAAATTTTATGATGGGGCTTGATGATAAGACAATTTATGTCTTCTGCTTGCTCCAGTTCTCTAATTAACACGATTTATTTCATTGTAAATTTTAATATATGACAAAACTCTTTGCTTAAAAAAAAAATAAAATGTTATGTTATGTTATGAAGCCGTTGCGTGGTGGTTAGAGTTCTGGCTCAATGTCAGATCTATCCCAATAAGCAACTTTGGTTAGGAAAGAGGCATGAAATTCTATATTAAATACTTTTCTGCAAAACTCTGTTATAAGACAGTATGATCTCTATGGAATGTTTTATTAACTAATATATATATATATATATATATATATATATATATATATATATATATATATATATATATATATATATATATATATATATATATATATATATATATATATATATATATATTTGCTAAAGAGCCAAATTTCTCCTAAAAAAAACTGTGGCGTAAAAGTATATTGAGTTAGAGAAAGTTTTAAAACTATGATGGATATAACAGATCTCAACCAGCAAGAAATCACGTATCGGATAGTTACTTTTTCCAACTGTACTAGCAAACTCTACAATTACTCAAAAACCTCTTGCTGTTGGGTCAATTACACGTTTGGCAATGAAGAAAAAACACATTTCAGCGCCATTAGATTAAAGATTTCAAAATGAAGGAAAGGTACGATTAAAAAAAGGAACGATAAAGAAACCTTAAAAAGTTGCATGCTTTTGTTTTTCTTTCAAGAATACGCTCAAAATACGCTCAGAGCACAATAATATAAAACTAGGGTTCGTATCACTGAAAAATGCAAACTTTATAGATTTATTTTTAGTTACAAATCTGAAAAAAATTGTTGTTTTTCTAAAATGTCCCTAACGTCGAGCTAAAAATGCTTTACCCTGCGAGCTTCATCATATATATATACATATATATCGCTACAAATTATTTTTTTTTTTAACTTTTATTAAGAATAAATTTAATTTAAAACTGAACCAAAAATATAGCATAAATTGTAGGAAGAAAAGTATTGATTTCTTTTCAACGTTAAAGCAAAAATAATGTAAGCTAAAATAAATGCATTATAACAACAGAATCGGCCACGTAACTTTGTTTATTTTGAAAATGTTTAGGCACGCACGCTTCAATGCACAAAATTATTAAAAAAACAAACAAGTTTTCAAAAAACTATGGTTATAATAAATATGAAAAATATTTTAAGTCTTTGTAATTTTAATTTGCAATTAATGATAGTTTTAAAGTATGATTTTATAAAATGTCGGTCTTGAAACATAAAAAAACTCATCATATCAAGTAAGTTGTTCAAAATTATTTTAAAATGTTCTTTTTTTTTTTCCAAAAAATGACTAAAAAAAAAAAGTACTAAGAACTGTATAAAATTGCATATTTTTTCCACTATGCAACAACAATCTAAAAAAAAAAGGTAGAATAACATTAGGATGATAAGGTTGGTTACTGCTGTAGATAAAATTTATTATAAACATTACGTTTTTAACTGTATACAGTTCAAAATGAAATCTAAAAATATTAAAATAATTATTTAGTAGTGCTATAGCATTACTTTAGCTAATTAATTAAACTAGCTAAGTTAGTTATTTAATTATTATTAATTAAATTATTAATTAGGATTACTTAATAATTAGTAGTTAAATTAAATTAACATTATTAATTAATTTTATATTAATTTTAATTTAACATTTTTTTCATTTCTATGTTTTATTTTCTACATTTTTATATCCATTTTATTATGTATAAAGTATTTAAAATATTAAAATTTTAAAATAAGATTCATTTAATATACATATCTGAAAATCTAATTTTCAATTGATACTACTGATGATACATATGGTTTAAAAATATTCTGAATAGGAGCAATCACAAATGTTCAAATTAAATCATACACAGGAAATAAAAAAGTCATTCACTTATAGTATAAAAAAAACTAGAAAAATAGGGGTGCCAGTCAGTGTCGCTGTCCCAGATGGCGCGAAAGCTCTTAGCGACTCTAATCACACATAAATCACACATTTAAGGTGATGGCATGTCCAGTTTTAACAAAAAGGTATGGTAAATGAGCTGGAGGAAGGCAAAGAAAATTACATCACTTTTCACAGAATTTTTTATTTAGTAACAAATTTTTAAATAAATTACCGTATCATTACCGCATAGTTTAAATTTATCCAATCATATTGTACTTTAAAAAAACAATTAAAAAAAAAAAGATTAAAAAACAAATCAAATCACAAATAAAAAAATAAAAGTTTTGAAAAAAAGGTAAACAAAGTTTATTGATTAAAAGTAAGTTTATAGTTATTTTTTATAATGTGTTTTGAGGCAACTATAAATAAATGTCTAGATTAGAACACCTAACTAAATATTAGATGAAAATCTTAGATTATGTTAGATTATAATCTTAGACTAAATAAGAACCCCATACTAAATATTGGATTATAAATGTCTAGATTAGAACCCTATACTAAACTCTAGATTAGAACCATATACTAACCCCATACTAAACGTTTAAATTAGAATTGGTAACTTATATATATATACAATCCTCGGAATTAGGAAAAATGAGGTCGGCAAGAATTTGCCAACCTTGATCTTTTAAAGGTTGGCATCAGGTCGGCAAAAAAAATTTGATACAAAGGTCTTACCATAAAACATAGAAACAAGGTCGGCAAAAAATTGCCGACCTAAAACAATTAAGGTTAGCAGTTAGGTTTGGCATTGTCGAATGCCAGCCCTAATTCTGAAGGTTGTATATATATATATATATATATATATATATATATATATATATATATATATATATATATATATATATATATATATATATATATATATATATAGGGGTCAAAATAAGTGCCGGACATCGCCGCCCCTCAGACCATTTTTGAGACCTGCTAGATAATGGCAACAAACAATTGTTCATTTTTGCAGAAAAAAGGAACAATGGTTGGTTGCCCTCATTTAGCAGGTCTCAAAAATGGTCTGAGGGGCGGCGATGTCCGGCACTTATTTCGACCCCTGTATATATATATATATATATATATATATATATATATATATATATATATATATATATATATATATATATATATATATATATATATATATATATATATATATATATATATATATATATATATATATATATATATATATATGTATATATTATGGCCAAGCGATATATTGTTGCACAATATATCTCTTGTGAATGTGGTTTTGATTGGCCCTATTCCGATTGACTGGGTAAAGTGTATTTTCTGCCAAAGTATCTCTGCAAACTAGTTGATTTGCCCCACTAATTCTAAGTGTTCAGATTGTTTGACAGGTTACAAATCACTTGCTAAAATCTTACCACAATTTGTGCAGGCAGATTTGCTACTGCCTGGTTTTTATATTCAGCGATTAGATGACAGCAGTGGCTTTGAAAGTACTTTGATATCGAACAAAGCTAATTGGCATAAACCCTGTAAGATATTTTACTATTCCACAAAACTTAATCGAGCAGCTAAACGTCTTCATTGTGCTTTCCTAGCTGTAGAGCATGGATCCTTGTTAAATGAAGCCAAAGCACTTAACGTTGAGCGCAGTTCATTTAGAAGATCAATGTCCAGTGATATGAGAAAACCAAATTTGGTTTACACACAACCAGTTCGTTTTATTTGTGATACCAGTGAGTCAAAAGACTCATTGCATAGTGCCTGTACCACAGATCTGGATATTTAAGCCTGTGAGTGTGCTATTATCTTGGGTGACTCTATATTATTAACCAAGTTGAGCGACACAGATTTATTGCTTAAGAGGCTAAGTAATTAAATTTTAAAGAGGCTGCAATTAAATTTTAATCTAAATTTTAAAATAAATTTTCTATTTTTGCTGGGAGTTACATTTACAGCAGGATTATTTTTCTACTTTATAAATGTTTAATTTTAATTAATCAACTTGTTTCATTATGAGCAATCTTCTAAAGTTTTCATTTAAATCGCTTTTTTTCTTTTTTTTTGATATACTGCAGCCGTTTTTCAAAACTCCTTAATTACGTTTTACGAGAAAAGCGCAATTTAAAAAAATTAAAAAAAGAAAAATCTGAACTCAAGAATAAGTGAATAAAAATAAGTCAATAAAAATTTCAAAAAAAAGTTTTTTTTTAACTTTTGAATGAATGATCTTGTTAAGGTTAATGACAGTTGTTAATGACGACACGTTTTTACACATAAGAAAAATCGATCAATTTAATATCGCGTAATTGCCAATCGTTATCGCAATAATTTAGACCTTCCTATATTTATGAACGGTAATGTACTCGATGAGTCTCCTACCCTTCATCTTCTAGGATTAACTCTTACTTCTGATCTTTCTTGGAAACCTTATATCAAATCTGTTGCAAAATTAGCATCTGCTAAAGTTGCTTCTCTTTATCGAGCTCGTCACTTTCTTACTCTGGATTCTATTCTCTATCTCTATAAATCTCAAATCCGGCCTTGTATGGAATACTGTTGCCATATCTGGGGCGGATCTTCTAATGATGCCCTTTCTCTTTTAGACAAGGTGCAAAAACGCATTGTAAACATTGTTGGACCTGCTCTTGCAGCAAACCTTCAACCTCTGTCACATCGTCGTAATGTTGCTTCTCTTTCTCTTTTCTACAAATACTATAATGGGCACTGCTCTAAAGAGCTAGCGTCTCTTGTGCCATCTACTAAAATTCATTCTCGTGTTACTCGTCATTCAATTAAGTCTCATCCTTTTTCTGTTACTGTTCCTAAGTGCTCCAAAAACTCTTATTTGTCTAGTTTTTTTCCTCGAACATCAGTTCTTTGGAATTCGCTTCCTTCATCTTGCTTTCCTGATTCATATAATTTGCAATCTTTTAAGTCTTCTGTCAATCGTTATCTTGCTCTACAATCTTCATCTTTTCTCTTCCAGTAACTTCCAACACTAATTAGTGGTTGCTTGCAACCTTGTTGGAAGCGAAGATAAATAAAAAAAAAAAAAAAAAATGTCATTGTTTTAATGAGAAAAAAATGTATATGAATGTATAACTTATTTTTTTTGTAATTTACCTTCTAAAAAATAATGACATATTTGTATTATGACTAATAATTATTCTATCAACAGATTTTATTCTTTTTTGGTTTTCTATTTGTTATTCTTCACAAAAATACAGACTACTGGTCAGTCTGTATGTTTGTGAAGAAAGTCTGATATTGTCCAAGTCTGAGATGTTTAAGTTGTTTGTCAACTATAATTATCACACATGCTTACTTTTTGAAAATCTCTAAACTCTGGCATTTGATTTTTTTTATTTAATTTGTATTGGATGATGTTATGTAGGGCTTATAAAAATATTGTTCAAGTCATATAAGTCATCATGCCTTCATTCATCATTTAGTTATCAATTGCTCAATTGTAGTAGATATTCTTCTAGTTTATTTCTACTTATATTTTTACTGCAATCAACAACTTTTTTTTTAGAATATTCTCTTGTTGTTACAACAGTTTTAGGTGACTGAAGAGAGCTAACAGCTTCAATAATTTCATCCTTTAGCATGCTCTGTACTTTGGTTTCAATTAATAATTGATTTTTTTAACTTTATTATCAATTTCTAAAGTTTTATTTCACATTTTTAGTATTGATTTTAGTAAATTTGTTTAATTTAATCTATTTTAATTCCCTATTTTTTTAAATTTAAATTTGGTATAAGTTTTTTTATTATTTTTTTAGTTGTAAATAAATTCAATTTAAAAAAAGTTGTCAGGCAATGCCAGAATCAAGTTCTTTTGCTTCACCCTATACATCTATTGGATCACAATCTTCATATAAAAATATTTCTCAGTTAGCAGACAAAAACTACAGTTTTTTGAGTTATAAAGCAGAGGTTTTAAGAAATGACCAAGAAAATAAATCTAAAGGTAGTTTGTTTTAAATTTCAGATTTTTGTTTGCTTTCATTTAAAACCTGTTTCTACTCAAATAATATTGAAATATTTATTTAGATTTTTTATTTTTTTGAATAAAATCTACCTCTCTAAGGCTTCAGAGAGAGGCAATTCATTTTTTTAAGATTTTATTTGTAACTGCCTCAACCCTTAATTGTATAAATGTATGAATGATTGTATGAATGTATATATATATATATATATATATATATATATATATATATATATATATATATATATATATATATATATATACATACATTTTATATAATAATGAATACTTGTTTTTCTGTTTTGTGATCTCAAGATCACAACTTCTGCATAATATTCCTGGAATTTCCATACTCTCGTTAATGGCCTGAGGGTTTCCAAGTATTATCCATTCTCTTTTTGTATTTACTCTTCCATTTCATATTTACTTTTAACATTTTAACAAAAGATATGATAGTTTGGCATTTTGTTTGTTAGAGTTGTTGCTTTTTTTTTTTTTTTTAACATTCATTCACCTCTCTAAAGCCATGAAGACTAGGCTATTTGTAAAGATTGATTAAAAATTGTTTAAAATATTTTAACACTTATAAACTACTATAATTAAAATTTATAAAGTATAGTTACTAAATATTTCAAATTTTTAAACAATTTTCAATAAATATTTACAAATAACGTAGTATATGCAACTTAAAAATTTATGAAAGTCTTAAATAAGATTTTTTTTTTAAATAATATTTAAAAATTATTGTTGTGGCACCTGTTTTAACTAGAAGTTAACATCATTGCTGGTTTTAACACACACACACACACACACACACACACACATATTTTTTTGTTGTGAAAGTGTTTATGCAGCTCATCTCTTCATAAAAACTTTTAGCTAACTAAAAATGAAAATCTCTTAATTTCATTTTTAGTTTGCTAAAAGTTTTAATGTATCTAATTTAATGTATCATCTCTAAGTTTTGCTGAATTATATGAATAATGTAAAAACACAAAACTTTCATTTGCATGTTTTGTTTTTTAATTTGTTCTGTTTAATACTTACTAACAGATGCATATTTCTATTGTTCTTTATGTAAACAAACAAACAACAAAACATACACATCGTCATACATGCTATACATTGTATTTTTTATAAGCACATGTAGAGTTGCAAAAAAAAAAAAACTTTTTTTTCTTACATTTTTTTTTTTTTTAATGTTTTTTTTAGCAATTTTTTAATTTTTTTTTGGCATAAAATTTGGAATAGTTTTTTTTTTTTATTCTAATATATTTTTAGTAAATGATTATTAAAAGTTGTTGTAATTGTTTTACATCACAGCAATACAATACAATAGTTTTAGAACTTCAATGTATTGTTAAAACAAAAACAATACAGTAAATGATTTTAGTAAATGATAATTAAAAGCACAATTACATGTATAAACACCAATATAACTTATATTTTTAACAAAAAATTCAGTTAGCTATAAGTTAGTTATATATCTAGGCATACTGAATGGGAATATTTATTGTCATGTTGTACTTTCTAACAACTGTGATACTCTCATTATAAATAGAAACTATTCTTATCATATAAAAAAAATTAGTTTAATATCAGACTTCAAATGCTCAAAGAAATAAGCAATCTATCAAGATTATTTATTTCTTTGAGCGTTTATATATTGTGTAGTAATTTAGTCTTACATATATTGCTAATAGGCCCTTTTAAAAAAAGCCCTATACTTTACTTAATTTCAAGGAAACTTCCTTTTATTATTATTATTTACTGAGATTTCCAGACCGCCTTTATCTGATGATTCATAATTTATTTATTTATAACTTATTATGACAGTTATATGTGTGATCAAGACTCAAGTGCAATTGCACGTCTTTCCTGTCCATGACTGCTGTAGCCAAGTGTACATACATCAACTGAGGGTTTATATTTGACTAGGCATTCTATTAATCAAAAGTAAGGTCTTTCTAGATTTAAAACTAAAAAAAATTTTACGTTACAAAATTAAATACTCCTCCACCTTGTAACAAATCAATACAAAATCACTAACCCCTTTCCATTCCCTAATATCACGTGACATATTTTGTGAACAATCTCACTTAAAATATTAGTTAAAACTATTAGGAAGCAAAGTTATAAATAGAATTCAGATTGTTGTAATTGTAATGAAAACAATAACAGAAACAATAGCTATTGTTATTGTATTAACTTTTTTAGAAACAATAACAATACTTATGATTGACAATTATTTTAACCCTTTGAGCGCTCGATAAAATTTGAACGCCGTTCAGAAAAATTCAACTAAAAAAATATCGGCAAAAAAAATCAGCAATAAACGTAACAAAAAAACAAACAAATAAAAAAACAACTATTTTTGAACTTTTTTATTTTTTTGTAGGTTATATAAGATTAAAAGAAGTTTAATGATTTTAATGCACAACTGTTGTGTGATAATTGGAAAAACAAGCTGGACACAGTCCAACACCACATAACTGACACTGCCAACTTGTGCGGACTCAAGATTGGTGCCCAGCTACACATTTTATTTTTTTTCCTGCACCAACCTTAACAAGATTGTGACCATATAATGGATTGCTACTTGCAGTGTGTTGGGGAAGTGGATATGGGACAATTGTACTTCTAGCCACTTCAATCTCTCTTGATGTTCTTCTTTTAGAAATTACTTTTACTAGAAAATAACCTCCGGCTAAATTTTCCACTATAGCCATCATAAAATATATTCTTGACATTGGCTTTTGTTCATTTGTATTGAGCTTATACAATAAATAGCTATTTAAAATTGCTCTACCAAATAAAGAAAAAGCAACTTTAGTAGTCCACTTTATTGTTCTACGCTCAGACAAGTACACATAGAGCTGTGCATCACCCAAATCTACACTTCCCATGGTTTTATTGTAAAGGGCAACAACATTTGGTTTCATAACTATATTTCCTCTTCTGTTACGCATTTCAGTAAAACCTGCTTTAGCAACAGTAGATAATAATATAGGCTTTTTTTTACCATCTTGGTATGCCACCCACAACAAGGGACCTTTTCTTTATTGGCATACCTCCTTATTTTTTAATTTCGATTTAATGCAGGTTTCTGGTAGGCCTTTCCTGTTGACTCTCACTGTGCCTGTTGCAGTGGTCTGATGAGCATAAAGATCTATTAACAGTTGAGGAGAAGTATAATAATTGTCAATACCTAAGTGATGACCTTGGTGGAGGAAATTAGTTTGGCGCAAAAGACAAAAAACTAAACTATAAGTCATACCATAGGCAATGGCTGCTACATCTGGGTCTTTTCCTCCCTTGTAAATTTCAAATTGACACAAATAACCGTTAGTGCTGTCTGAAACACACCATAACTTAATCCCAAACCTAGAATGATGTTTGTTTGGCATATATTGACGCAGATGTGGTGTCTTTCCTTTGTAGCCAACCATACTCTCATCTATAGAAATGTCTTTTTGTGGATAATAATAATATAGAAATTTGTTGTTAAAATGTTCAACTAAAAACTGAATTTTATAAATTTTATTGAGTGGTTGTTGATTTGGTATATGGATGTCTGTAAAATGAAGAAATTTAAGCAAAAGTTGAAACCGGTCACGATTGAAGTGGGTAACAAACCAGGGAGTAGATGCACAAGGATGACTTATATCCCAGTAAAGTTTAAGATTAGCTATTTTGATGAGACCCATGTTGATTACGACTCCAAGGAGAGCTCTTATCTCTAAAAGATTGGTCTTTCCTTGTTTAATCCATCCATGACCTCTTGATGTTGGATGGGACCTCAAATGTTGTTGATTGTTTTGAATCCACGTGTCAGCATAATTATTAGTAAAATTTACTATATTTTGCAAAAATTCAGTTGTAAAAAACAAGTCCATATATTCAATAGGCTTAGACTCAGGTGAAATTGAGTGCTTGGGTCCTGATTCACCAGTAAAGTGAACAACATTAGGACCATTTTCATCTTCTAGAACAAATAACCAATCGTCTAAAACATTACCACCAACATCACCTACATCAACATCGCCATCAGAACTGAAGTCTACATAAAAATTAAAATAAAAACTTCAAATTATCATACTAGGTGATATATTTGTATTAAATAATATTGTTTACAATTTTTTAATTAAAGTTATCGTGCCTTCATCAAACAAACTGTCATCGCTGGAACTTAAAAATTCTTCGCTGGTACAACTCTCGTCATCCATACAACTTTCTTCACTGTCGCTCATTTTCAAAAATAAATATATAACAACAATATACCAAAAAATAGAGAAAAATGTGCTCTATTCAATGCTACCGTTTTTAAAGATCGTGGCTCTTCGCGCTCTGACGGTATAGCCACGATCGTGGCTCATCACGCTTAAACGGTTAATACTGTAATACAATAACAATAAATATTATCTTCATAATACAATAACAATATCTGAAAAAAATGTATTGTAATGATGCACTACAATAACCACAATTATTATATTGTAATTCATCTTTATAAAACAATAACAGTTAATTGTAATTGTAATAAAAAAAATTATTGTAATGTCAAATTTAATAAATATTTTAACAGTCCAGTCTCCGAGGTGTGTGACCTTGAAATATGGTACAACTAATCTATAATTATTGATTCTATTTTAATTACTGAATTTCTTGCTCTTAGTCATTTGCTTTTAAATTAGGTACCTATCCAATTGTTTCAAAACTTACTCAACTAACACTTACTCTAATATAACTTTGTCTTTTTTTCCCTGAGGCTTTTATGGCTGTATATGTTTTATAAAAGAACTGGACTTTTGGATCTAGTTGCAAAGTTATACAAGAATTTTGTTACATGTATCAAGAACAGTATTTATTTGGTATTCTAAACTGCCTCATTTTTTAAAAATTACCCCCTACAAAATTTATCGGTATAGTCTGATAAGTGTTGAGTAATCTGAAAATGTCGACAATTTTTTTGCAAAACAAAAGTAGTTCACATTTTTAGACAATCTAATCAATAATTACCCAAGTCAATGGTTCCCTGTTTACGCTGTAATTTGTTACTCATTAGCGGTTTATTATATTGAAAAAAATATATAGTGTCATGGACTTTATGTAGTTAATCAATTAGTTCACAGTTCTATGAATTAATATTTTCATGGGCTTTATGTAGTTAATCAATTAGTTCAGACGTCATCATCCGGTGAAATATTTCAACATCAGTTTAGGTAAAATTATAAAAGAATCAAAAATTTCACTTCACAAAGTAAATAATTATTTAATTACAAACATGGTAAATTATATATTTGTATAATTTTGAATGAATATTATTAATGTTAATTCTAAATAAGTTATTCTTTAAACAATTATATTATTAAAACCAAATAATTAAAATTTATATATGTAAATGGTTGCTAAAAACCATGAGCGCCCCTGAACTTAATATTTTTTAAGTATATGTAATATATATACTTCTTTGGCTTTTCTGGCTTCACTTCACTTCTCAAAATAAATAAAATTTATATATATAAATAACTGCTAAAAACAAGTGTCACAGGCGCATGAATTTTCCTGTGCCCAAATAATAATAAATGAGTGGGAAAAGAATCTAGATACTTTAAAATACAATTACTATTAAACTTATTAATAATATTTATTGTGGTGTATTTCAATACACCACAATAGTTATTGTAATTGGTTTTCATCCCAGTAATACAATACAAAAGTTGTTGTAATTGTTTTACATCAAAGCAGTACAATACAATAGTTTTAGAACTTCAATGTATTGTTAAAACAAAAACAATACAGTAGTTATTATTACTGTATTTAATTACAGCAATACAATAACAAGAAATAATGTTTTAATTACACCTCTGTTATTACAATACAATATTATTTTATTGTAATGTGTTATTGTGTTTAATTTTTACAATTATAATTACAACAGTTTAAACCCTAGTTATAAAAAAAGCAACATTTTTTATCTAATGAAAGAATTAAATTATACTTTTTGTGATATTAAATAATACGAATACATAATAAGTTTTTTTTCTCAATAATGTAAATGTTTCAATAATGTAAATGTTTCAAAAAGTACAATACTTTAAAAAATATATATTCTTAAGTAAAAGGAAAAGTACACGTTTAAAAAAATATTTAAAAAGTACAAAATTTGCAGAAAACTACTCAATTACTATAGCACGAGTAAATCTAATTAGTTACTTTCCACCTCTGCAAGATAGTTTGTTATTTTATCGAGAAAAAAATGTTTATTAAAACAAATACCTGCTATAGATATAAAAATCCTAATCTTTTTAAGGTATTTCCATGAAAAAACATCCAGATCATGCAACCCTAAGTTTCAGATTTTGCTGATTTTAACACCACTCAAAGATTTAAATAAATTATGAAAATCCCCAAAATTACATCATCTTATTTCAAACTGTTTCAAAATTGTTTTTAGATGTCACTCTGAATAGGTTAGTTTGAGTTGTTACAGCAAATTGAAGAGTGTTCTTTTTTTAAATAGAAAAAAAAA